ACATCGCTTTGTAGTGAGTAGAGGTCCATCAGCCTTCACGTCACAGAGCGTGAGAGAGAGAGCGCCAGAGAGAGTTGCGGGGGACACACGCGGTTATGCATGCTCGGCGCCAAGGTCTGTGGCGCCGAGCTCGGCGCCATGTATTCTCTTGCCGTGGTACCGGTCACGTCAACGCCACCTAAGATGTCCTACTGTGCTTGGCCAGGCACCTCGGCGCTAAGATCTGTGACACCGAGACGTGTTACCTTGGCGCCATGAGTCCTGGCGCCGACCCCTACGATCCAAAGATGAGTTTAAGTCTCTTAGGGGGGCCAAACGTAAATTTTGTTCAAAAAGGGTTAAATTGTAAAAAATTGGGGTGGCGTAATGCCCGCGGGGTGGCCCGGAGCAAGTTGAGGTCTGCGCCGTCCGCTCACTATGCGCGGGAAACAAGAAGTCGCGGGCGTCCGTCCGGACATCCGGGCGCTAGTAACACCATTGTCAATTTCGATGCTTATCTGATGGTAGATGTTCTCCTCATGATTCATCACAAGATAAGGGATTAATTGTGCATTGTTTCTGCCATTTATCTCAACAAAAGCTTCATGCAATTCTTTTTTAAACAAATCGAGCAGACGAGTTGTCGATTATATATAATGGTGCAATGAAGAGTCTTACCGCTCAGATTAACCGGAAGGTCTCGGTCCCGAAGTCGCGGTCTCCTCGCATTTGAAGATTTTAAGACTTGCCACTTTCCCGGACTTGGACAGAAGCGGGAGCTTGTTTTTTTTTTTTTAAGCGATGGTTGTCGATTATATATAATAATGAAGAAGACGACTCAGATTAAGCAAACAACGGTCCCGAAGGGGTAGGTTCATGCAATTGAAGATTTTTAGGAAATTTTGATGGTTCATTTTTTTTTTGCGACTGATGGTTCGTTGTTTAAAAAAAAGGATATTTGACTGTTTATTGTAAAGTGAAGTGCGGCAATAATTTCGGCTCACCCTGCTTCGGCACCGTTGTAAGTTGGAACATAAATCTGGCTCCTTTATTCAGTGACTCTACTTGCTTCGTCGGTATATATATACTTCATTGCCTGGTCTCTTTCACAATAATCACAATTCAACACTAGAAACTGCTTGTGTGAGTTGTTGGGTTCGGCGAACTTGTATTGAAAGGGGAGAGAGATAGAAAGGTGGCAGGTTTAAACATGAACAATATGAACCACCTAATATGTACGTACATCGACAATGATAAAACAAGTACAATGTTTCTTAATATGTACACATGCATGAAATCAATACAGCAAGACAAAACTGAACCATATGAATGTTCTGATCTGACCCGTGATAATCTTTTGATCTCAAAAAAACATAATCAATCTGTAACCACACACTTCATCCATCCTGCGCGAATCACAAAGCCTTTTTTCCCCCTCAGTGCCCCGCGCCACGAGGGCTAGACCCAGCGGGCAGCCTTGCCACGAGCATGGCCACCACCTCCCTCGCGTTGATCGCCGGCGCAAAGCCGACGGCGGCGTCGACACAGCCCACGCTCGCGGCTGCGACTACGGCGGCAAGAAGAACCAAAGCCACCACGAAACGAAGCGGCCAACTCCTCGGTGAGCCCATCGTCTCGACGGATCGACGGCGGACGACGCACGGACCGGCCGCCGATGAGCCGGCGCCTCTACGGCGACTGCCTTTGGCCTTTTGGGCGACGACGGCTAGCTTGCCTGGTCTTTATAGGAGCACACGCACGTGCGTTCGGTTGAGCCGTTCCTGCTGTACCAGCATCACACGTGTGCGCTGCAAGGACATGGATCAGCACCCGTGTGGCGGTGCTCATCATCTCCGGACTCCGGCCGGCAACCATTAATAGCTGCAGGTCAAAATGGCAACGGTACCCGAAACCCGAGTACCCGACGGGTTTTACCCGATAAGGAGGCGGGTATGGAAGACATTTTACACCCGTGGGTACGTTATTGGACGAATTCTTGTACCCATCGGGTATGCGGGTACGGGTGTGGGTGTATACTACCCATACCCACGGGTAAAAAAAACCCACATAAATAATATCTAACATCTGCAATTTTAGCCCATATTTGACCAATATAAGCATATGAGTATATATATTCCAGAACTCCCTCAAACCCTATTCCCCATATAAGCATATTTGGAATGAACCAATGAGGCATCTGATCTATTTCAACTAGCTTGACCAGGATATATTTCTGTTTTGTTGCTCTATTGTTGATTTGTTTTGTTGGAAGCTATTATATTTTGGTGTGTGAACTCGGGTATATTGTTGGGTGCGGGTTACCCATCGGGGTAAGAATTACCCGTCGGGTGCGGGTACGGAATGAATTTTCTACTCGTCTACGGGTACGGGTAAGATTTTGATCTGACGGGTGCGGATACGGGTGGCCAGTACCCATCGGGCACGTACCCGTTGCCATCTTGAGCTGCAGTAGTACCAAGCGATGGGTTTAATTTCGACGTGACTTAGGGCGCTTTGCAGATAATTAAGCTCGATCGGTTTTCTTCTCTTGATGCATGTTAAATTGGGAAATATCAGCGAGAAAGGTGTGGACGGGGGAAGGCGACGATGGTGCGGTGCAGTGGAGAAAAATGAGCGGTTGTTTTCACCAGATCGACGAACTCATCGCGGGCATGGCATTGCACTAGCTAGTGAATGGTACGTGCACGCGGTAGGAAGGCATGGCTTTCGGATTTATGGATGGATGGCTTCTTTAATTTGCACTTGCTGTTTTTTGAGTAAAAAATTTGGACTTCTTGTAGCCTGCACGAACGAGGACAGCTCTATATTCAACCATGCAAGTCGATAATTCTTCCGGGTTATTATTGCTTATTTTTTCCGGCTGATTTGACGTACCTACAAAGATCATATGACAGTGAAGGGAAATAGGGATTGCAAGCGGGATGTACTGAACACCCGTTGAAATGCCGATGCATCATGAGCACACAACGAATTAACAGATATGAGCGTGTCAACTAGCGACCTTATAGGCTAGAGTTGTTTAATTTAACTTTCTTGTAAACTATATATTGCTATATATAAGACAGGAGGGGCTGGTTGCAAAACTCTGTTAGCACTCCTGGCACGAACTAAGACCATGTTTGAATCCATAGGCTAAAAGTAGGAGCTAAACTTTAGCCTATTCTTTTTTCATTAGCCCCTCCAAAATAGGTTAAAAAGGGCTAAAAGTGGTCCATTCATGGCAAAATAGACATATTACCCCACCCACCCCCTTTTAGTTCTGCGCATGAGTATTAGTTAGGGGCAAATGGGTCATAGTAGGGTACATGACTAATCTTTAGCCCCTGAATCCAAACAGACCCATGGACTAAACTTTAGACCATTTATTCTTAGGGCTAATCTTTAGCCTTGACCTAAAGTTTAGCCACATTGATCCAAACAAAGCCTAAAGCCGCGTATAACTGCTCTCCTCTCATTAATACAAGCCGGATAGCGGATTTTCAGTAAAAAAAATACAATGCTTGTGTATTACTCTGCCTATGTTAATATGTTAGGGCAGTCCCAATGCTATAAACTACATATAGTTTCTATACCTATTAATTTTCATAGACATTGCATATAAAAACTATGATCCCAATTGATAGTTTCTACAGAACAATTTTTTATTCAATCACATACGTTCTCTCACCATTCTCTACCAATCACATTCCTTCGTGTCTTGGTTCTCGTGTAGACATGGTTTCTAACCTAGACCCGATTTCTATGATTTTTGCTCTCTCTCTTCAATAACTACCTTCCACATCAGGAAAACGCTTAGGTGACAATACAATTAATGTCTATAGAAATTATGATGATTTCTGTATTGGGAGTGCCCTTATAAATAAATTTAGGTGTTGTTTGGTTGTAGCATTGGTAACGCAAATGTAACGAATTAAAGCCAGCAACACATACGATTTGAACTGATTTCATTTTTCATTCGTGTTACTATTCTAAATCTACGAACCAAATAGCACGGTAGTGTAGTGGGGATTGGGTGCTTGCATATATAGCAGCTAGCAAGAGGCAAAGAAGTCGCATTACATCTTGGTTGGTGCGTGTTGAATTCATGCATTCAGCAGCTGTTGCTGACCGTAAGCGAGGCCGTGCACATCTGTGGCGTGCTGCTTCTGCTGGCTGTCGTTTCTTATTAAGTTGCTCAATTATATTGCACACGCAACGCATGGATTTGACGGACGGAAGGAAAAACGAAGCAGAAGTGGAAGCAACGAGCTCAGCGTCCACACACATGGAGATCAGATCATAATAACCAGAGCACATGCATGCTTGAGGCAGTCTAATAAATTAATAGACGTGCAGTGTCAGTGCTTGGCCCATTTCTGTGACCAAGTATAATTTGATATTTCCCGTTTCGTCATGCATCAATAATAATGCCGTGGTCAGATTTGGGTCATTCTTCAGTATGTGTGTACTCACAATTTGACGAGCGGAGCGGTTGCAGGTTGCACGTCATCAAAGCTTCACAAACTACTACACTAACATACATATTCCTATATATTGACGAGCAGATACATCATAATCTGGTTAAACATACATATTCCTATATTAACAGCGGAGAAGAAAGAGACATGTTCCGTTGACTAGACGAGCAGATACATCTTCTTAATTTATTTGAGAACATAGAAGAAAATTAGCCACACGGCACTTGAACTTTTGAAGGAAAAAAGATGCAAAATTTTTCCCTTAAATAATTGCACCTTAATTCATCATAATCTCATTTAAACAGCAGAAGGTACAAAAGAAAAGTACAAATGGAAGTGTTCCGCACACAGCCTAATCTAGTGACAAGGTATCAAAGAATAATATAAAACTAAGTACGTGCTCTTAGCACTTTAGCAGAACTTACTTATATACAATTCATATACTAAGTATATCATGGCCAACACAGACAATCTATACACTTGCTCCGTACGCCATTTGTTTCGTACGTGTCAACCCGTACACCGATCCGATGGCACGATACGCTAGTGACCGGGGCCCTTGGGGCTGGACCCGGCCGGCAGCCTGGCCATGAGCATCTCCACCGTCTCCCTCGCCTTCTCCACCACCGCCGCCGCCGGGTACATCTGCAGGTACGACACGGGCGTTGTGCCCACCTCCACGCCCCTTCCGCCGCCGCTCGCTGCAGGTGCCGGCCTCGCGGCGCTGGCCACGCTCGCGCCCGCAAGGAAAGCCAGCGCGAGCGCGAGCACGGCCAGAGCCGCGAGCTGCCTCGACGAAGCCATGTCGCGCTCAGCCGATTGAGCTAGATCCAAAAGTACTGGGGGAAGCTTAGGCAGGTGCTTGATCGGTGCGGCGTGCGTGTGTTTTTGGCTGGAATGTACGCGAGTTGCCGAGTTCGTTGGCGCGGGTTTGCCGGTGCTCGGTCGGGGCGTGGCGCGCTACTACTTATAGAGAGAGGGGGTCGCCGGTGGGTCGGTGGCGGGGTCGGTTGGGGATTGGATGCTGAGGCGTTTGCTGAGGCAGTAGCAAGCTAGCAGCACGGTGGAAAGGAAGGGAGCCGTGTGAGCGCGTGGATCTGCGGAGACGAGACGAGACGAGACTGCGGGAGGAGCCGGCCGGCGAATGTCGCGTCCCGTGGACTAGGCAGCTTCGTAGTGACTGGTGCGGCATACTCCTATGTCCTATGTGCTCTGTGTTGACCATGAACTGGAGGGCGGGCGGCGGGTGATTTGGTGCGCGAGTAGTCAGTCAATAGAAACTGGCACTGGGAGGAGGAGGGTGGCCACTTGGACTCGATCCATGGGCAGATACGTCCGTACTTGCTCCCGTCGTCGCTTCCACACCCGAGTTCCGCATGCAGCGTGTATGCGTCTTTGATTTTGCCAACGAACGACGAAACAGATGTCAGAAAACTGTGTGGTCGTGGGGATAGATTTTCAGTCTGTGGGAGGATTCGGATGCCCTTTTTTTCTTCTTTGTTGAGCAGCAAACGGGATTGTGTTTCAGCGTTCGTACGTTCGCTTCGTTACTTTCCTGATGATTCCCCTGCTGCCTGGAAAGACCGCCAGGATGGAGAACGAAGAAAGGGCGTGTGATCACCTCGTCATCACTCGGTTCGCTGGTTGGGTTTTGCATATGCGTGATTCTTTTCTTCAGCTCCGCGGTTCTGATCCTAAAGTGGCCGCATCTTATAGCTTACCACCCTACGAACCGAATAGTTTTTATCGACCGGCGGAGCAAGGACGGAAGAAGTACCGAAAGTTCCAGGAACCGCTCGAGGGCGGACCCGGAATCATGTACTCTACCAGCGAGGATCGGATTCCATTTCGATGAAAATGCTTTACTTCTACTAAGATCGCAGTGCACTTTACTTCTACGGAGTTCAGTTATGAAAATCACCAAGTGTATATAAAACTTAGATGGTAAAAAAGGTAGGACCCAAAATAATTATAATAAGAGCAAAGTGCATGGCGGGCCCCTATACTTGTTGGGGTGTGTCAAGCTGGTCCATTAACTCTCAAAACGACTACTTAAGTCCATAATCTATGTTTTGGTGTCGTTTAGGCCCAATCCCCGTGGACGCCGTCATCTTGTATTGCAATTAGGCCCTCCCGTACGTTGAACAAATCAGTCCCCTCCCCAAACTATTCTCCGCCCGTTCCTGTATGTTCGTGCTCCTCGACAGAGGGCGGCAAGGGCGTCGAGGGGGGCTGCGGCTAGAGGATCGGTGGCGAGTTGAGGCTGTCCACGCTAGGAGCAGGAGACGTCGGAAGGAAGTAATCGCACTGGAGTCGTCTTCCGTCGCAAGATCGAAGGATGGTGGCAACATTGCGGCCGAAAGGGGCGCCTCCCCCTATGTGCGGTGAGTTTGATCGGTGCTTCCTCTCATCGAATCGTTGGATTTGGTAGGCTAAGATGTTGCACATGAGGTAGAAAGGCAAGACTTTGCCATGTCTAGTCGTTGATTTGGAACAAAAGTTTAGGGTTTCGTCATTTTTGTTCTTCACTATAGGGCACCTTATTTGGTCTATTTCTTGTCCAATCTGTAGGTGGCTGTAGAGATGAATTCACAATCGAGATTCACCATGGTGGTTTTTTCATTGGTTCGGGTCATCTTAAATCATACATCGATGACAAGGTGTCTTGGTTTGATCATGTAGAGGCTGATACATTCTCTTCTTTGTGGTTTCTGGACTCTGCACAACAGCTAGGCTACTAGAGCAATGAAGACTTGAAGATACATTGGCTGCTACTAGGGAAGACATTAGCAAATGGTCTTCGTCTCATAGTTTCAGATACTGACACCAATGTAATGGCAACATGTGCAGAGGATGTCAAAAATCTGGTAGTATATTTTGTTCATGAGGATATATTCAGTGAAGTTGATTGGGATGATGTTGTTGCAAATCCAGTGACTAAATTGCCAAAGGTCATCAGCCCAAGCAAAGTGCAGTATGTGGACAAGAATCCTAAAGAAAAGTTGCCTGTTTTCTACACAAATTTGGATAACATAAGGGTGGATCAAGCTATTGACAATGAAGATGATGTGCTTTGGGACAGTGATAATGAGATAGAAGAGGGAGATGCAAATCTGTTTGATGACCTTGTAACTTCTCATATACAGGTTAAAGACCACAAGAAGGCCAAAGGCAGCTAACTGAAGACACTAGAGTAATCTAGACCTATACAGGGAAGTGATGAAGAGGATACAAATGATGAAGGTTTGGACCTTCCAGAATCAGATGAGAAAGGTGATGTAAGACTAAGGTTTTCATCTTTCAGTGAGGAGGATATGCAAAATCTAACCTTTCATGTTGGTTTAGTGTTTGCAGATGTCCAGAAGCTTAGAGATGCCATCACTGAGTATAGTGTTAGGAATAGGGTTGAAATTAAGATGCCGAGGAATGAGAAGGCAAGGTTAAAGGCTCATTGTGTTGAGGGCTGTCCATGAAACCTTTATGCTTCTTTGGATAAAAGGACCAACTCTTTTATGGTTAAGACTTATTATGGGGCACACAATTGCCGTAGGGAGTGGGTGCTCAAGAGATGTACTGCAAACTGGTTGGCTGCAAAGTACATTGATTCATTTAGAGCAAATGACAAGATGAGCATTACTAGTTTTGAAAGGACTGTACAAAAGGACTGGAACCTTACACCATCAAGGAGCAAACTTGCTAGAGCTAGAAGATTGATCATGAAGGCTATTTATGGAGATGAGGTGCTACAGTTTAATTCTTGTGGGATTATGGAACTGAACTAAGGAGGAGTAATCCTAGGAGTTCTTTCTAGCTTAACCTTCGGGGTAGCTTGTTTAGTAGCTGCTACATGTCACTTGATGCTTGCAAGAGGGGTTTTCTTGCTGGGTGTAGGCCCATAATTTGTCTTCATGGGTGTCATGTTAAAACCAAGTTTTGAGAGTTCATGGACCGGCTTGACACACCTCAACAAGTATAGGGGCCGGCCATGCACTTTGCTCTAATAATAATAATTGTTCACATCCAACCAACCAAATTTGTTATGACTAATCAGAGAATGAAGAAAACCTTGTTACTATATGGGAAAGCCATATACATTGTACAATTGACTGCTATCAAGAACTCATGATCAGTTATGTAACCCATGAGGGTAGCTATTTTTTAAGACAAATGAAATGAGTGTAGCTAGAGTATCTCCATAAGATCTCATATACTCTTCCCTATTCTTTAAATAGTAGACGGAACAACTCCTTCCTATCATATTTCTATATTCTTTATTAAAATATTACTAAATCCACCACCATCCCTCCTTAAAAAGGGAGGTCTTTCCCTCGCCTATCCTATGGGGCACCCAGCAACCTTTTAGTGCTAGTTTTCTAAAATTAAATATTTCAGTAGTATTTTTCTAAACTGAAGATCTTTTAATGGTACTCATCTTAATTTGTCTATAATTTTTTGGGTGCAAACAATACTAGTTCCTCCAAGAGTGTGCTATTTTTTAATATCCAAAACATGCGCTATTCGGTGACATACCACACTATTTGGTGGGACCTTTCCAAACTAGCATCTTTTAGAGCAGGCCAAAACGGGATAACAAGCCTATTAGTTTGAGCCATACTGGCCTGGGGTGGTCGTCCAGGCATGTTCATCCGACCATCGGCATAGAAAGTCAATGGCCTGGGAAGCTATTTGGGCCAGACACTGCCTGGGCCAAGCACATTTTGCCAGGTTCAGAACCAAATATGCCCTCATAGTAGGCTTTTATATCCCACTCTTCCTCCTAATGTAATACCTGGTCCACATGGTTCCCCCCCCCACCCATTACTTTCTATGACATGGATTTTTTTCTCTGGTGTTGCCTACGATGCCGCTCTCTAACCATGTGTTTGGTTTGGGGATGACAAGGGATGGTTTGGATCCAACCCACTTTTTAGGGATGGATGGGACCCATTTGTTGTTTGGCTAGGGGGTTCGTTTTAGGGATGGGTTGGACCCATATTTTGTTTGGTTGGAGTGCTGGGTTGTGAAGGGTTGAGCCACTAACAGATGCGGCCCACGTATCATTGTCTGGGTCTTCTTCTACCTTGCCCTATTCTCTCTGCTCTCATTGCTCGTGCATCCGGAGACCACGCCGGCGAGTCCTCCCCACGCCGGTGAATCCTCCTCACGACGGTGAATCCTCCTCCGCACCGGCTAGTCCTCCCGCGCGCTGGCGAATACTCCCAGCACCGGCGATTGCATGCGCCGCCATGGCCGGGCGTGTGGGGGTGGAGCTTGCCCCACGCTGTGGCAGAATCACCGAAATAACACGCTTTTGGAGGCACTCATCTTCTACTAGACACTAAGCACCTCGAAAGTGAGCTACATCGAACAGTTCGTCGAGCACACCCCAAGGGAGAACTCAAAACAATCCATGTTTTACATCCAGAATCCAATAATGAATATGAGCTTACAATACTTAGTCTATTTCATACAACAAGAGTTCTTGAAAATTATTTATTACAATACCAGAGTTCAGAATGCGATAATTAAACAACGAAATGAAAATAAACATCTAGCAAAAACGATCAAGGATACGTCTATGTCCACTAGAAGAATCCTCCATACAAGAACTACTCCTCAAGCTGCACCTACAACAGGGGTAAAATAACCTTGAGTACACAATATACTCGCAAGACTTACCCGACTAGTGGGAATAGTTTCCCGACTCTCAAGGATATGATAGGCAATATAGGTTTGCTATTTTCTTTTTGTTTGTGGAAAGCATTACTAATAGTTCATCCTTACAGTCAAGTTTTATTAGCAGT